ACCATGCCAATAATAGTATTTGAAGCAATCCATTTACCTGTGTTGTCATATTCAGCTCACGCTTTTTTGCTATCAGAGATACCAGTTCATAGGTGAAGTTGGAAGTTATATAGTAAGCACATTTAGTGCATTGCTTTAGAATGACAAGTTGAGCTGTCACTTATTTAACTACCTGACAATACAGGGAAGTAATTTTTGCTACTCTATTATTTAAGATATATCCCATCTAGTTATTTACAGAACTGTCAAGTGCTGTGGTAAGTTCACTACTAGACCGTAAGCATGAAAGGCCTTAAAGCAGATCCTCAGAAAAGGCCTCAGCCTTTTCTGTGTCATCATAGAGTTGCAAACCTCTTAGCAGTGGGTTCACTTTTTGCTTCAGTCATCTTTTTGATGCCAAAATAGTTAAAGAAGCCTTTCTTATTTCACTTTATACTCTTTGCCACTTTTTAAATCTAATGTTTTGCTCTTCCTACTTTCATCCTTCTGTGCCCAGGGAATGCATCTGTAGTCCATTTGCATTCATGTTTTCCATACACTCCCTTTTTGCATTAGGGGCTGGTTATGTGTTCTCCATTCAGTCCAGCTGACCTCCTGTTACACCTGCTGGTTTTCTGGCAAGATAGTTATTTGCAGACAAGACAAACTTGTTTGCTAGTTTCTTTGACACATTCCTTTCAGTAGAGGAGTATGATTAATAAATTCATGCTGCTGTGCTCTTACCATCTTCAATCACATCCATGGATAAGGACTTCTGCAATATTGCAATCATATTCTTTAATTTGCCTAATTCTTCATCACATGTTGACTAACTTGATATGGCAGCTCCCAGCTATGTGAGATGGTTAAGGGACTGTGATGGAAGAAGGTGACTTCCTGATTCAGAAATATATTTGAAATGGCTTTTCTGTACTTTTTGGATAGGTTTACTCTGCTTTGAGATGGAACAGCCTTAGAACAACAGTAACACAGCAGACACTTCTGATTGGCAACTTACAGCAGATAAAAAGAGGTTTGTGACAGCCAACAATTGACACCAGAACACTTCAGAAGTACCTACACATGTCTTAGTAATAAATACTCTAGGGGAAAAAAAAACAAACTTTATTATGACAGAAAATTACGAAACTACTGTTCTAATATTAATTTTTGCAACAAAATGAAAATCCCTCCAAACCAGGGAAAGAAGTTCAGCATAAGAATTTTTGTTTGCATTTATTTTTAACTTTTCACTGGAATAGCTTTTCCATATGGCAGTTGTAGTTATCTCTACAGGGAGAAAGATTTTGGCATTTCCTTCTCCCCCATGGAAGTGACTTATTTACCAGTGGGAATATTTCCACTGAGCCTCACTCACACAGGAAAACAATAAAATCCTCCTTTCAAAACTATGTGTGTGTATGTGATTAACATCTGCAGTGTATTACATGGCTTATAGATAACATATTGATTTCCCTCTTGCAATTACTGTTAAGATCAAATCAGTGAGATTGCGTGCAAAAAATGAAGGGGAATTTTTTTTGTGCCTATGATTACTTTCTTTTATTTCATTCTATAATTGCAAATTCTACCTGTGGTCTACCAAGCAAGCATAATCATCCATGAAAGGACTCCTTATATTGTTGTTGGTCCACCTCAGTAAGTTATTTTTTATAATATATCAAAACCATATTTAATTCATTACTTTTTTGAAGTTAAATGACAGGTCACTCCTTGCCACCACCATAACAAAATCCAGTTTGACTACAGCCAATTCTGCTTGTTTTTCCTAGTCTGATAGCATAGATGTACTACTTTGTTGCTAGTTTTACAAGTGTACTGAGTAGGCTATTTCAGATACAAGAAGTGCTTCACTAAATAGATTCTATGTTCTACTGCACAGCTCTATGATAATCTTTCCATTTATTAAGGGCTGACTGAGCATTAATCCCATCATCCAGATGCATCAAGGAGGTCTGCACAACACCCTGTCCAGACCTACATTTACCAATCCTTTGGCAAATGGAGCTTTCAGCATAGGTGCTTCTGAAACATGCTTCCTCACAACCATAGGGGCTTTTGTTAAGGTGCTGTGGGATCCGAATTTGAAGCAGAATTTCTGCAGAAGGGTTTCAAAGACAGTACTGTCCTGCTCACGCTTCTATTTGTGAAACAGTGTTCAACACAGTGTCTTGGAAGAAGGGTAAAATGAATTTAATGGAAGATAGGATGGAAGTCTACTGGCACTTTGTTAAGAGATACTCAATAAATGAAATTTTAAAATACTCTGAAAGCAAATGAGAAGTTTTACTCCTTTTGGAAGAGCTTACCTTCATTTTTACTTTTAAGTTGGGGTTGCTTTTTTAAAGGCAAGAATAGTTCATGTTTTTAAAGAAGTAGATCAGATTTTGCTCCTAGTGAGGACAAAAGCTAAGTTATAGGACCAACAGAACTTATGTCTTTTAGTAAGAAAACAAAACAAAACAAAAGGAAAAATCCAGAGGAACTTCTCAAAGTTTTGACACATTCGTGACATTCACTAACAATAGTGCTAAAGCCAGCTTAAATAATCATTTCCTCCTTCCCAGCTGTTTCTATTCCTGTACATGCCTGCACTGTATAGCCACAAGCATTTGTGCAGCATACTGTGAACTGAATTCAGGGAACTAATGCAGCTGCTGAATAGCCTACTAAAGTGTTGTTCATGAAACCAGGCTCCAAATGATCCTAACTAGAGTAACAGTAAACTTACAAGGCCCATGCTGAAGGGAAGTAGATTTACTTTAGTGTCACTCATTTACTTATGAATTGTCAAGAAACAATTCATAAGTAAAAAATCAGATCATGTCTATAATACAGATACACTGGTGCCAAACTCACCTACTTCAGCAAGCAGTATAGACAAATAGGAGAGGATCTGGAGAACAAAACAGCTGGTGCTGGGAAACCAGCTTTTGCACTATGCACATTCCAGAAGCTTTATTTGAGATCAACCTGGCTTTACCCTACAGACCTGTAATGCTATGATGTGATGGAAAGCACAGCAAGAATAGCAGGGTATCAAAGCCCTAGGCCACAGCAAACAAGGAGTAGCCCAAACACAGCAGCTGGGGATACATAAACAAAGGAAAGAAACTGCTTGCCTTTTAGAAGGCCTCAGGTACACAGGGATCTCCAGCAAGATCCCCTCAGCTCCACTGCCAGCCCTTAAATGAGGGCTGGGAAGGGGTGGATCCTGGCTCCAGCCCTTCCAGTCACTCAGCAGCACTGCATGCACCTGAGCTCCCCTGGGTTGGCCCTGCCTTCCACCAGGTGCTCAATCACTGCTTTAAGCTGTGACTTAATGTTTCTGCTACAAGATTCCTTAGAAACCAGAACACATTAGAGGCAGTCCTGAAGTGCAACTCCTGGTTTTATTTCAACTTTAAGCAATACAGTTCACGTGCTCTTCCATGTTAAAAGCAGTAGAGCCCTGTGTTGAGACATGTGGGATGCCATCCTAAGGAGCTTTTCCACTGGCATAATTACATCACCTTTCTAAATGACATGAGCTGGAAAGGTAAAAGGGGTCTTCTGTTAGTCTTCCTATTATCTAAACCAGATTTCTAGCACAGCTATGCTGCAGCAGAGGTGCTTATTTCTAACACTGCTAATATAATTACTCTAGCAGACATGTAAAACCACAGTAAATCTCTCAACTTGCCTCATCACACAAACCCAGTGTTCTCCATTAGAACCCATGTTTACAGAACCTTGACCTCTATGTAGAGCTGCATTTATATTGCAGAGAAGCCCATCTGTATGTAAGAAAGGAACAGGGATATGTGAAGTTCTAAGAATGATTCTGAATGCTTTTTCTGTGAGAGCAGAATCTCTTGCTGCTAGGTGGTAATTTAGGTCAAAAATGCTATCAACTTTTCCTTCATCTGTGGCTTGTGGATATAAAAAGGCATGTATGGAATTTGCAGTGCTCAAGCACTTGCTGCACAGTAAAGTACCATACTGGTAATTACAATTCTTACGACTCTCTGAGGGCTAAACCAGAAGATTAAAAGAACTTTATTTTCCTGAGAGATTAAATGTTCTATACTTAAATAACTAGGATAGTTGATCATTGCTATAAAGAGGCTGATAGTGTTTATTGCTGGCTTTGCACTTCCTGTGCAATGATATGTAGGTCATTGTAAAACCTAGGAAAGACAGACATGAGACTGAAAAAGAGGGCTGAAAATCAGAAAGTCTGAATCCTTGCTGAGCCTTGGATAAAAAACTTCTCTTTCTGTTGCACACATAACTAAAGATAATACTTCTATAATGTACACTGGTGCTATATATGGCTATTCTGATATGTGTAAAATATTTTAATGTGTTGATGTGGAAGAGATTACAGTCATACTAATATGCATATAAATGAAAGCTCTGTGTTTTATGGGAATAATAAGAGGGGGGAAAAAAGATGTAAGACTGTACATTAGACAAATGTGGGAAGTCGTGTATTGCCATTGCATCAGCTGAGTTTTGCATTGTTGAAGGGAAATGGCAATGAGAAGCCAAGGTGAAATCAGAGCCTCATGTAACATCTGGCAATTACTAATATATTTTTCACTTTGTTTGACATTTTAGTTATGTTTCAGTGTACATGTTTGCGCAATATATATATACATATATATAGTGTGTGTGTATCCATGATAGCTTTACACTCTAATTTTGTGACTACATGCAATAAATCAGAGAGCTGTGATTGATACGTAGCTACACAGATGACTCAGCTTTATTAGAAGATATTTCTGAGAAAAGTCAAAGCCATTCCTAAAACTATTCTATGTCCTAGAGGCTACTTATAAATAATGACCCATGTCTCCCCCCCCCCCCCCCCCCCCCCAAAGAGATGTAAATAATTGCAAGGCATTCTTTCATTTACAAAGGCACCATAGGCCTGCCATACTCACTGTAGGAAGAAATAGCACTGTCTCTGAGCAATTATTGAAGGAAAAAATTACAAGTGTGTGTTGTAATTGCAGGAGTCTACATTATGTCATCAGTCTGGTAGGATTGGGTGGAGACATGACAGCCTTGGAATGGTAAGTACTGACCTTTGAACACCAACAGAGGATGAGCAAGGCTCCATAAAGCAAGGAATGTATTTGGGCTTCTAAATTACCATGATTTACCACTATTTCAGAGATCAATGGAAGGTTATAACTTTATCTATAATGCCGAATCTGTACCTCCTTAAGACTTCAAAAAAAAAGGCAAAGAAGACTTTGAGAATTTTAGATCAAATTGCCTCATTCCTTAAATGAAAAAAAAAATAGAAGAAAAACAATCAAAATATCTACTCTCAGATACTTGCAAGATAATAAAGTGTTATGAAACAGTTAACATAATAATGTTGAATCAATCCCCTTCTGACAGTCCAGCAGTTCTGGGCAGATAGAGTAAATCTCAACTTAATATGACCTGTGATCTTGCCTCTTGTGCTTTTCCCACAATTACCCAAGGAAATGCAGTCCAGTCAGGACACCTCCACAGCCCCAAATAGTTGGGAAGTTTCTCCTGTAGAGTGGTTCCTAATGGCTGACTGTCACCCGATACTGGGGAGGACAGGCATCCTTGGCGGAATGAGAACTGGCCACAGGGTTGTGGTTATAATTAGACACTTGTTATTATAAATTTAGGTATCAACATAGCTTATAATCTATAATTTCTAGGGCCTAACATAGCTTACAGTTGCACAGAATTTCTAGAATTCTCAGTTAGGCACACTTTCCAGTTACCCATGCCCTCTGTAGATCCAATGAAATTCTTAACAACCAGCGTATTGTTAACACCTGGACTCAGGCTTTAAGTAGATCATGAGTCAAAGGCTCAATCAGTCCTCACAGGAATACCACAGAGGTGCTCCTGGCCTCTGAAGGATCCCAGGTTTTGCTGTCCAGCTGTGGCACCATTCAAAGTCCCACTCAGGGTTTGCTGCTGATTCATTTTATAGAGAGTGCTCTCTGTACTTTCCTGTTCCATGATGGGTGTCACCACATTCTGGCAGCTCAGCAGCTGGGGCTTGATAATGCCTGTGGCTTTCTCATCCTATTTGAGGGTGTCCCTCCATGCTGACACCGGAGAGGAGGAGAAAGAAAGGTGAAAGGTAATACATGACCAGCCTCCTTACGGATGTTTACCTTATTGTTGTTTATGCTGGCTGTTATCAAGGAGTACTAGTACTAAACTCACAAGTTTGGTACTATTCTGTATCTTTACAGAATCATGAAATGGCCAATATGTTTAGTAAATTATCAGACTAGGAGGGCATGAAAGCCCATAGGTATTAGGATTCAGCTATGATATTCTTGTGGCAAGCTGAAGAAATGATCTCGAAAGCATGAAATGGCAGGCAAGAGAAAATGCCTCTGGCTATAAATACAAGCTAAGAACAGCTGGTTAATCAGGAGTTTTGGGGTAATCCTAGATCCCAAACTGATGAACCAACCAGTAAGAAAAAGGAAAAAAAAAATCCAGTTATGCTAAGATGAATACACAGGAGCATTACACATAAGATGTATGCAGTAATCCTTTTGCTCTACTGCTAGTAAGTGAGAATACTATGTTGTTTCATGCTATTGTTTCAGTAATTACATGAATTCACTGAAAATAGGCCAAAGTATTATCCAAACTTTAAAAGATGTGATTTATGATTTGAAGAATTGCTGTTCTTTGGAGTTGTATGGGAAAGAGAAAAACTGTTTTGAAATAAAAAGATAATGCTGGAAAGATAACAAGAATAGCTGTTGTCTTTGTCCTCTGTCACTGAATCATACAATGTCTGAGGCTGAAAGGCCCTGGTGGTCCAACCCTCTGCTCAGAGCAGGGTCAGCTACAGCAGGCTGCCCAGGAGCGTGTCCATGGAGCTCCGAGTATCTCCAAAATTGGAACTCCACAGCCTGCCTTGACAAGCTGGGTCAGTCTTTGTCCACTCTCACAACAAAAACGTTTTTTCTTATCTTTATGTAGAATTTCTTGTATTTCAGTTTATGCCCTCTTGTCCTGTCACTGGGTAGCGCTGAGAAGAGTGGCTCAGCCTTCTTTCCTCCCTCCCACCAGTCACATAAACACATTGATAAGGTCATCCTTGAGCCATTTTTTTGTTTTTGTTTCTGTGGGTTTTCTTTTGTTGGAGGTTAAACAATCCCATCTTTTATCCCAGATAAGAAATAACGAGCAGAATTGCAGGAAAAATGAGTTAGATTAGACAGAAAGTCACAGTCCGGATAAATAAGTATGGGAATAGACTGCTCACTGAAATGAGCTGTGCTTGCACACACCACCACTGGTTTTTAAGAACCAAATGGTTCTTAAACTGGTTTTTAAGAGCCAAAGTAGGTTGAAATATGAGATTTCTGGGCTGCGTTATGCATGCAGCTGTTCTGCAGGCTGATTTGATTTGCCTCGAGCCTCTATGTTAATTATAATGACAAAGACAAAATGTGCCAGCAATCTTAAAAATAGATGCTACTAACCTACCTTTAATCAAGCATCCACAGACAAATGCCGTTTAACAACACCAACTGTGGTCACAGCTTCCTTCGATTCTTAATCGGATCAGCCATTCATCCTTTGGTTTTGTTCTGTTTGGATTCGGCTTAGGGAAGATAGAATGGAAAGCAGTCATTCCTGCTGTAAAAGGCTTCCGAAAGGACCGGGCTGAAAATGTTTGCATGCCGTAAGAAGGCACGCAAGGCTTTCAAGCAAACCGGATTCCGTTCTGCTCCGTTCCGTTCCGCGCTCTCCCGCGGCTCACAGTCGCCCCCTGCCGGCCCCCGCCGGCCGCTCGCTTCCCGGAGCGGCGTCGCGCTGCTGGTGGCGTCACGCGTAGAGCTACGGCTGGAGCGAGTGAAGTCCGTGTTTTCCAAGTGCAGCAATGCAGCTGGTTCAGCTGGCCTGGGGAAGATAACTCTGCGTTTAGTAATAGTGCCGCAATAGCGTGTTTTCTTGATGTAACTCTTGGCTGCACGGTGAGTGTTAAATTCTCGTTTCTTCACATCGTAAGTTTCTTCCACTGACTGCGTTTTGCTGGGATTAAGGTTGGTGGGAAACTTATTTCTTGACTCAAGCCCAAGTAACTTCAGCTTTCAAATTTGGAAGTTTCTTAGAGCCTGGATTTGCCAAGAGTGCCTGCTGCACATAGCCCACCCCTATCATGTGCTGAAGTGACCAGATGAACTAGCACAGAAGTTGGGCCTTTCTTCCTCTATCATATACAGAGCACACTCACTTTAGTTCCAACTACTTTCAACTTCGGCTATGCAATCCTTGAGACAGAAAGTACAACAAGGAAGATCCTAAGCACAAAAAGCTCCTTGGCTTTCCTGCCTCAGAGGGAGAGGAACATTACAAGAAAGAATACATCAGCAGTGGACGACTAGTGAATGAGGCTCCGCTTGGATCCCATCTGGAAACGGCTATCAGCATTATATGGAGCTTGAAACGTGTTGTGTGCAAGTAGGATTCTAAAAGCCTCACTTGGAACCCAAATCTGTTTTGTTGTGTTTTGGGTTTTTTGGTTTTTTTGTTTTGTTTTGTTTTTATGCTAAATGTTTCTAAGTTGGTTTTAACTGGAACTGCAGGAACCCAAGGCTTTCAATTGCATGCAAACCTGCCCTAACCTGACACCTTTTACGAGCTTAAAAAAAAATATCAGAGGAATGTAGGCTTCTACCAGAGCCTGCCACCAAAGCGTGGAAACATCCTGCCAACATGTTTACTCACTGCTGTAATGAACACATGCAAGATTAGAAAGTTTGTTTAGGTATTACTGGAAACCTTTTTCCATCACAATCCTTTCAGCTGTTTCACAAGGACTGAGCAGGAAATTTGGCCTTTGGGCTCACACGTAAGGTACGTGTAGTGGTGAGGGAAGACTTAGCAGTGCCAGCTGTAACCAGGGAGCTGCCTAGTGAGTGCACTGTGGGTCACTACCAGACTAAGGTACAGGAACTTGCAATGACATAAACAACAGAGGGAATTAAGAGTCACAGCCTAAATTGGCTCTTTTGTCAGTGTCATGTAATGTGCTTGGGATAGTTTGCCTGCGTATGGCACAACTGCAATATAATTGCAAACATCAAGAAATGAGTATGTAGACTTAGGTGGGTTGGGATGGCTGTAACATAAATCTGAGGCAGGGGAGGAGCTGCAGCCCAGTGATGCAAAGAGTCGATTTCTCTGCTCTATAAAACACATCCTGTGATTTCCTACTCGTGTACTGCTTCTTAGTGTAGTCAAGCACAAACTATTTAAGGCAGGGATTCACTGTGCCTGCAATTGTGTGTTATGTAATAATAATGATGTGTCTAATTGCTATTGAAAAAAAAAGTAATAATAATAATGGCTGTGATTTCTGCCTTCCAAAGTAGTGCGTATTGTCTTTGAAGTAATCAGGGACTTGTTGCTAGGCAGTTAATATTTAAGGTACCTTAAATATTTTAATGCGTCTATGCCTGCTGTTTCTAGGCACCAGTATTTGTTTATGTTATCATTATACAACCCTTTCTACCTTATATCCTTTGTTCAGTCTATCCATACAGTGAAATTTCAGTCACACTTTTTTTTCACAGGTAGCAGATTTACTTTACTACAGTTGAGAATGATAAAATCCCTCTGATGCAGATTTCTTCTTTGTCAGGATGTTTTGCACTAATGGTTTGCACTAATACCATTTACTCTTTCTTTGCACAGTCCTTCTCCCAGGTGTGTTCTGTCTTTGTGATGGCTTGGTGTGTAGGCATGTAGTGATTTTAATAAAGGTTTGAATTTAATGGTTGAGAATCAAGATTCAAGATCACCTTTAATTGTAGATGTAAACTAGGAATTGAAATACTGACTTTTTTTGACCAAGCTCTAAATTTTTAAGAGAAGTCTTCACATGTGATCTCTGGTAAGACAGTGGGCCAAGAGAAACAGAGATTTCATGGTAGCTGGAAGGCAATCAAAGAGGGTGGGGGGGAGGTATAAGATCTCATCAGAAATTACAACTTTGAGGGAAGAAACTGGGAGCAAGTAAGCACTAACAACTACTGAAATACATAACTAGGGGAATGTGCTGCCACTACTTCAATCCTTCGGAAGAATCATAGAATCACAGAAGCACAAGGTTGGAAAGGACGTACAAGATCATCTAGTCTAACCGTCCTCCCATTACCATTGCTACCACAAGCTACTAAACCATATCTCGTAGCTCCTCATCCAGACAGAAGTAAAAATATCAAATCCTTTTGGCAGCTCTGCAACACTCAATTCATTTCATCTCAATTTTATTCAAATAAAATAGAAAAATTCCTGCTGGGTGAAGTGTTCTTACATACAAAACGTAAGCTGCAAGCTGTGTGCTTGGAGAGCCGTGAGACACTGTTGTCTCTTTGTGTTCTTTGCCTCAGATCTATATGGGCTGCAGAAAATATCCATTATCTGCTTGCCAGCCCAATGGGAAATACACCGAAAGCATTATTCCAAACCTTGCTCATCTCTGCAGAGGAGCTGAGCTTTCCTGATAGAAATGGATGAGAACTCAAAGTTCACCAGATGATGAAAGGCAATAAATCAGAGCCTGAAGTAATTCATGTGATGATTTTGCAGACCCAGTCTGTTCATTGCCAGGTATCACAGAAAGTTCCATACCGCTTTGTTGCTAAATTCAGCATATTTCTTCCATTGTTTTAAAACTGAGATACCCCCACACACTCCTTATTTGTAATGGATTTAAAAATTGTGAATGCAGCTGAACAGCGCTGCAGACAAATCCTCTATGCACTGAATGTGCGTAATTCAAGTAATAGCATGTCAAAGTTCATCACATTTTCTTGTCAGCTTACCTCATCTCCTAAAAAGAAGTACCATTTCTCCTTGGGAGAAACTACTTATTTTCGTGTCTCTTCAATCTGAAGGTTTTTGGTTTTTTTTTTACTGAGACTTTTAATGATGTCATCGATTAGTGCAAATTCTAACAGTGATTTCTGAGTTTGCTGTGAAACACACATTGCAGATACTGTACAGTCCTTGTACTGATGTCTGATGTAAAGGACTGCTGGTAAAGACCTCCATATTCCATGTTTAATTCTGAGAAGCGAAGGCTGTTTTTGCAGACGTGGCCCTTTGGCATTCTGTTCAATGAAATGCATGGCAAAGGCACTTTTTAAAAAAAATTTTTTTTTGGTAAACTGATGTATAATGTGAAATTTTCTACTTCTGGTTGGCTGCTGCAGGGATGCTGAAGGCTGAACCTCTTCCTCCTTTTTGAGCAGACTCTCAACTCAACAGAGAAGCGGTGGAAATTCTAATGGGCAATAACTGAAATACCCTCTAATTTCTACCCTTTTTTAAAAAGTTGCCTGTTTATAAATTCTGGAAGCATATTTGACAGAGAGTTGGTACATGTTCCTCTACTTTGTAACCAGGTTCCTGCCCATCTTAAAATAACTCCTGCTTTGGAATCCGCTGGCTGGCGTGCATTTGTATCTAGTGTTACAAAGGGCAGACAGACCATTGCACAGTGCTGCATGGAACTGCAGCCTGATGCCACCCACAATACTGTGAATGTGGGTTTTGTACAGAGCTGGGAAATCCAGATCATCCAGTATGCAAGGGTCACTTTGTGCAGCAAGGCTAATGTGTCTTAGTGCCACCCAGTTATCTTTAAGCAAATTATTTGTTTTCAGTGAAATAAACAGGCAAGTTCATTTGGATCTCCTACACCATTGTGAGATGCTTCTCATAAAAGGTGGAAGTGCCAATAAAATCATTCTATCGATGCTAAAATTATTATATTCAAACTTCATTAATGACAGTATTATGTGTCTGAAGAAACATTTGGATTTTAAATTTAATGTTTATGTTAAATAGAGGAAATCATACCTTTAAGAATGAGCACAGTGCTTCTATATGTATTCTACAGCCTGCATGACTGAGCTCAGATTAGCTTTTTCTGAAAGTCTTTTCACTCAAGTGGCCCAAACTGCTATTTAGCAAAACTAGCTTTTGTAACAGACCCAAATATTGATCCAATATTCAATATTTACAGCCAATAACTTGAAATTTAGTTTCATTAGATAGCTGCATTTTGTTACTTGGAAAAAAAACAAACAAAAGAACAGTACCAAAAAGCACAGAAGCTACATCTTTGACTGACCTTTGTCCTATTCAGTAGATACATTCCAGCTACCAGAAGCTTTTTATTATTTCAACTATAATTTTTAAAAGAACATCCTGACCCCAACACGATATCCTCGCTAAGGATACTGAGCCAGCCTTTCCAGGCTGGTTTACATTGCTGCTAGAGCACAGGGGAATGACCTGCCTCTATAAGCTGTGCTTGTTGCCTCCCCACCACGTGGGTTAGTGTTTTGCTTGTACTCTTTTCCTTCCTCAACTCTCTGCAAACAGCTGACCTAACCTGCAGTTGGAAGTAAAACACATCCCAGATAAGGGACTTGCACCTCCCGCCAAAGGAAAGGAATCTGACACCAAAGAGTGCCACTCTTCTGCTCTTGAGGGCTTCTTCCTCAGGGTATGCTATGATTTGGCCAGGTGTAAATAGTCAAAATGCTATTTTTATAGGAAACACAATGCCTTCTGCTGTGACAGTTTAAATATAGAGAACAGACCACTACTGGCATTTGAAATATCACTGGATAAGATAATGCAATCAGAAAATAGCCTAAGCTTTTACTGTGATTCTGAGTACAGGTTTCTCATACCCTTCTCGCTACTTTTAAATGAGCTGAAGCAGTGTCTTTCACTGGCTACTGGATTATTTGCATACTGAATAAATTAGATGATTGACATTGACTCAAAATGAGTAATAGGCAGCTTCATTTTTTGGCATTAAAAATCTTTGGGTTATTTTCATTTCTGAAATGGCTATCACAAATGCAGTATGTGCATTTGAAAACCATGTTTCACAGCACACTTTTTTGCCACACTTGTAATGCAGTGTCATGCAATGTAATTCAGTCATTAGCATTAAAACCTTAATTGCTCTCTGCCTAGGTTTCGAAGCCAAGTTTCCACACCTAGTCACTCAGGGCAACCCATAAACCAGGTAGTACCCCAGTGCAGAAATGCAAATTTACAAAGGATTCTTTTCCTCTCTGCTAGCTAACCACATCATCGGCACCAATGCAAGGATGCAAGCAAGCTCTGCAAAGACAAAGAGCAGGTCAGAAACTTACAGGGACCAGGTGGGAGTCTTCACTTTACCCATTTCCTCTCTATTCCCTCATCTCAGCCCGTATGCAAAATGTGCACACTGATGTGTCAAGTCAGACATGCTGGACTGCCTGTAGTTTACTCTTGAGCAACAGAGGAAACAAAGAAAGGCTATGACTCAGAGCAACAGTCTTCCAACTAGGCGGCTCCAGGGCAGCCAGATGTACTTTCCCTTATTAGGACAGATCATGAAACCTTTCTTCATTTCGAATGGTACCTAATTCTGCAGTAGTATTGTTGACTTTAAGAATCGTCTTTTATAAAGAACTGCCAGCAGAAAGTAGCTCTAGCTTTGCTTCTCAAAAAAAGCTTTAATTTAATTTGACTCCACCTACTCTGACCAACATGAATAGTATAACATGAATCAGGCTCCATTAGCAGCAGATAATGTGTTTAAAAAGGACAGCACCTGTTCAACTTCCTGTAAATAGCATGTTTTTATGACTGCAATCTAAATTTCCACATTCCCACCTCATCTAATGAGGTGGTTTTGGTCTAAATTACTTCATTGAGCTAAGGAAAGCCAGACTTTTGCCTCTCACAGACTTTGCTTGTATCTTGAGTGTAAGAACCATAGCCGATTTTCTTCAATTTAGGTATTTTTGTTGTATGATGTCAGAGACATGTGTCCTCAGCTGAAATGTAATCCTGCAGGAGGAATGTGTCACTGAAGTGAGTTCATACAAGAATTATGCAGGCGGATGAACTTTCACACCTCTTCTGCTGGAATGCCTGCAACACTGCTCCAAAAGTTAGAGCAGCCAAATGGTTACAAGACATTGTGTATTTTTACATGGTGTTGACTATCAAAATGAAACTAAAAGAAGCATCAGTGCCCTACCTACAAATAAGCAGGCATCTCATAGTCCATTTGTTATCCAAGAACACTTATTGTTCTGTTAAAATAAAAAGCAGCAATTGTAGATGAGCTGTCCTGACCTATCCCTTAAAGCCAGGTGTTCAGATGGGTTCAATACTAATTTCCAATTGAACTCCATGATTCAGTCTATCATTGCTTTAAGCATCTATATAGAAGTTTTCTTCATATGCTGTTAACATAAGCTATCATGTAAAAAGGGATTTATTCATTTTACAAAAGAAAGCCAAAGATAACTTCTGGAGTTAGGTTCAGGCTCCTCCCTCACTTGCAATCATTCTGCTTCCGTTTTTCATGCATGAAACCTGAAGTACGTTTTATGTTCCTTGATTAACTGCTGCTAATCAGTTAAACCAACCACCAAGTACTGCTTCAACTCTTATGAAGTGAGAGGACTGCCTCTCAATCATGCTATGAATACAAAATGTCTTTATCTGGAAATGAATACCACGTGTTCCACTAAACAAAGTGTGTTTGGCTGGAAATCTAGTAGTGCTAGAAAAAGGCTAACAGCTTTACAGAACAAGTTAAAATACTCTGAAGTAAGTTACTGTAAGTCACCAGCAAATTACTTTTGACTTTTAACTCCCAGGAAAGAGGGAGAACAGGAGATTTTTAAAAAGTCAAATTCTTTACTCAATCCACATAGCCAGTAGAACAGAGAAATTTTAAAGGAAG